AGATATGTCTAACCTCAGTGCAGTGAATTTTTTGTGTGTAGTGTATATGCACTAGGTATATCAGAGAGGCATATTTTTACTGTCTCTTCATTATTTGACTACTGACCCTGCAAGAGCCTTCATGTAGCTGGTTGGGTTAGGATACTTAAAACTTACTCTAATAATGAGAAATCACCTCCCTAGGGGGATGGTCACAGTGCAATGCCTTCTCCTCATTCTCCTCTTGGGATTTTGGACATGCACACACATGGACCACACGTGAATTTTAAGCCATGGGTCTGGGATTTGAACCACAGTTGACTATGTGGGAGTCCAGTGATGTAACCATTACGTCATCAGATGAACCCCTACTTTTTGCTTTTTAAAGAAATTTAATTCAATCAGCATTGGAAGAATGAACTGATCACTGAATATTGTTGGAATTATGCCTAAGAAGAATTTAAAAAGACTTTATTTTTAACCAAATCATGCACCATAATAAATGAAGCTAAATGTGAGAAAATGAGGATAAAATGAAGCCTAAAATACACATAAGGAAATGTTTACGTAACTCTGTAATGGATAAAGTCTTTTAACCCCTAAGTTTGAAATCATTATTAATCAAGGCAAAATTTGCTATAAGAGGCTACATCAAAATGTACATCTGCATATAAATATCAAATAAAATTAAAGTGAAAGTGACAAAAAATTATTTGCAACATATGACAAAAAATTGCACTAAATATAAAAAGAAACTTCATGGCAAGTGATTTAAAAATAAAAATTAGGATAGCTAGGACTGCAGAGACAACAATTCCTCATGTACTGTTGCTTGGAATAATTCTGGAGCATAATTTTGCAACATATATATAGCCTTAAAAATACGTAAGCTTTAACTACCATTTCAGCTTCTGAAAATTCTTTCCAATGAAAAACTGTGATGTATTCAAATATTTATTCATGTACTCATATATCAGTAAATAAATTATAAATTAATAACTAAATGTCCTATAAGAGTAGATTGACTAAATAGAACACGATATAATCAAAAGAATGTTTAGTTAAACAAAGCAGATTAGAGACTATACGAGCAATATTATCTGATTTTTTTTTTTGGAGAGGTTTTTGCTATAGGGCGCGTGTGCTCGCCAGACAGAGAGACCCAGAGAGACAGAATGCAAGAAATCACTCCCCAGGGGGAATGGCCACGCTGCAATCCCCTCTCCACCATTCTCTTCTCGGGATCTTGGGCACGTACGCACACGCGCCCAGTGTGAGTTTAAGCCACAGGGTCCGGGACGCGAACCGTGGTCCACTACGTGGGAGTCCAGTAACACAGTCATTATGCCAACTGCTGGTCCTAATCTGATTTTTTTTAACTTAGAGATTTTTGCTATAGGGTACATGTGCTCATTGGAGAGACAGAGAGACAGAAAATGACAAGTCACCCCCCCCCTCCCCGGAAGATGGCCACGCTGCAATCCCTTCTCCTCCATTCTCCTTTTAGAATTTTGGGTGCATGCCCACACGCACCCAGTGCGAGTATTAAGTTGCTGAGGCTAGGACTAAAACTGCGGTTGACTATGTGGAAATCCAGTGACATAACCATGACGCCATCTGCTTGCTGATCCCTTGATTTTTTTTTTGTTTTTTTTTGGTATAAACAGAAATGTTTGAGTATATGTATACGAAATATTTTGGAAGGATGTTCACTAAATGTCTTTAAATGGCAGGGATATGGTGATTTTGAGCTTACAGTTTTGTTTGTATTTTCTGATTTTCCTATGTATTACATAATTCTAAAAGTTATTTTTATATGAAAATTAGACCATATTTTTGGCTCAAGCAAAGTTGCGTTCCTTATTATTTCCTTAATTATTATAAAAAAATGCCATAAGAAATGTCAGAAAATCTGAGGCTGAACTTGCTTTGAGAACATTTTTATGGACATTGCCTACTCCTTCTCTCAATATTCCCGAGACAAAAAAAAAAAACAAAAAAAAAACTCATGAAAAATTTCTTTTGAAGGTAAATTCCAAAAAACTCTTAGGATAATTATTTATTCTTTTTCTTTTCATGAATCATGTGAATCATTTAATTGTGTACTTACTTCTATTTTTCTTTAAGCTGACAGAACATTTAAAAGCAAACACTTCATCTAACTGTAGTTATTATGAAGGGCCATATGGTTTATATATCTGCCTACTTACCCTCATGTGGTCCTCAAAGTCTCTTCCAATTCATAAATCTCTTGTCCTATTTTATTAATTATATTTTATAAATCATCTCAAATCCTTTTCAGGTAGAGTATAAATTTTTAAGCAGGATATTCCTCTTTTTATTATCAGCCTCTAAATGATAGCAGACACCCAAATACAGTCTCTACAGGAAGAGACTTTAATATTCTCAATACAATTTAATTTAGAAGCACCGATTTTGAAAATAAAGGAAAACATGAAATTATGTTCACAAATGTATGTACCAAAGAAACTTGAGTCAAGAGCTAAGGGAAATAAATTTTATAATCCCTATATTTTATATATTTTATATCCCAATATTAAATAAGATCATAGAAAGCAGAGATAACTTCTATCTAAACCTCAGCCTAGATTCTTCCTCTTCAAGCAAGTTTTTAGGAAATGCTGTCATGCATAGCTGGTTAGAGATAACACTGAGAAAGGGGTCTCATCAGTTTTCCTTTTGTTGTTCACTCGAAAACACCCAGCCTGGGATCTGGTATTAGAAATGAATCTCTTTCTCCCAACATTCTAACCACAGGCCACAGAAGTTTCAGGAAATTTCTGCTCTCTCAGGCAAGTACTTCCTTTCTTCTCTCTATTTTTCCTACTTGTTCCTTTCCACAAAAAACGCAACTGAGCTGCCTGTAAGACTGATGACAGCTGCTGTCCCAACCACATTTCTCCACTTGGTAGAGTCACTCTGCTTGGCATGTCCCCTTGTCTTTAGATATGTCTAACCTCAGTGCAGTGAATTTTTTGTGTGTAGTGTATATGCACTAGGTATATCAGAGAGGCATATTTTTACTGTCTCTTCATTATTTGACTACTGACCCTGCAAGAGCCTTCATGTAGCTGGTTGGGTTAGGATACTTAAAATTTACTCTAATAATGATTTTCCGATGCAAGTAGGTTTTTACATTTTTTTCAGGGAAGAAAAGTATGCTGTGGATTCTCTTCAGTTTTACTATTAAGGAATATGAGGGAGTCCTCAAAAGAGTTAGTCAAAAGTGCATATTATTAAAAAAAAAACTACACAGTTTTGTACCAAAATAAACGATTTCTGTACATTAGTTCATTTTCCTATTATTATTAATTATTATTATTATTATTATTATTATTTGATTTGCCAGACGGTTCTTATGCTTGCAGGAGCGAAGAGGCAGAGAGAGAGAGAAAGGGAAAGTGAGAAAGCACACCTCCATGGTGGATATTCATGTCACAATCTCCTCTCTTCCATTTCTCCTTCCTTTTTCAGGATTTTGGGCATGCACCCATATATACCCAATATGATTCTCAAGCTGCTGAGTCTGAACTCCAACTGCTGAGTGCAGTTGGCCATTCAGCTGCCTTAATCATTAGACCATGGTCTGGCCCTCATTAACTTTTGAAGTCTCTTCATATATTAACCCCCATTTGTTTTGTCTATGGTATAGCAGTACCTTATTATCATTTCACTCTTTTCCCCATACTAGTTCTTAATGTTCCACGTCTATTAGTTTTTCTCTACTAATATGTTTTAAAGATTGTATTTAAAGTAACTTCAAAAGGTCATGGAAAATGGAATTAAAGAAGAAATTTTTGTGCATAAAATTTTTGAAATTCATGCATAGTTTTTCCGTAACACATTTTCTAAGAACTTTATAAAGATTTCTTGTATATTCTTTCTTAACATGACAATTAGGTAAACAAATCTTTGCCCCAATTTTACTTTCTTCTTGTTAAAGAAGAAAAGTCTTAAGAATATTAGAAAGTTGAGAAGATCTGGAGTTTGGGAGAAAGGCACAATAATTATCTTAAGATATTGGGAACCAGCAGTTAGCGTAATGGCTATGTTGCTGGACTCCCACCTAGTCGACCGCGGTTCGCATCCCGGACCCAGTGGCTTAAAACTCACGCCGGGCGCATGTGCGTGCGTGCCCAAGATCCCGAGAGGAGAATGGGGGAAAAGGGACTGCGACGTGACCATCCCCTCTGGAGGGTGATTCCTCACTTTCTGTCTCTGTCTTTGTCTGTCTGTCTGGCGAGCGCACGCGCCCTATAGCGAAAACCTCTCCAGAAAAAAAACAAAAGAAAAAAAATTATCTTAAGATATTTACAGTCATAGTTTCTGAGACTCCAGAGGAACTAACAAGGGCCACCGAATGAGTAGTAGTATAAAACAGATAAGAGGAATAAATAACAGTGCTGCTTCAAGTGGAATTTCCTCGACATAGATGCCCAAGTAAAGACTGAACAAATAGGATGTTTTATAAAGAATCTCGGTGTTGGGACTAGCAATTGGCGTAATGGCTATGTTGTACTCCCATGCAGTTGTACTCGAACTGCAGTTCGAGTCCTAGACCTGGTGGCTTAAACTCACTCTGGGTGCATGTGCTTGCTTGCCCAAGATCCCAAGAGGAGAATGGAGGAGAAAAAATTGTGGCATGGCCATCCTCCTGGGGGGCTGGTGCTTTCTTGCTTTCTCTCTCTCTCTCTCTCTCTCTGTCTTTCTGGCGAGTGCACGTGCCCTATAGCATAAACCTCTCAAAAAACAAAACAAAAAAAAGATTATCAGTGTAGAGTATGAGATTAGTGATAAGGATCTATTGTTATCCATGATTCTATGAATCTAAAAGTGTTCTATGAGTTACGGAGTTGGGTAAATATCATTATCAACTGGGGGGTAAAAATTAAGCTATATACAATTTTTAGTAACTCCTTCCTAATAATTTATAAAGTACCATTAGAAATTGAAGAGGAAGTTCAGAATAATCTGTCATGTTAATGAAAGAGAATAGTTACCTGTTTGGAAAAAGACTCTAGAAATAATTGTCCGACACAATGGGCAGGGAGTGCTTGCAGGATTGTCTTTGGCCAGAGTCCGTAAGCAGGGCTCACAGAAGATGTGATGGCAAGGGTAACACATGTAAGGGTTGAAATAAACATCGAGACACACTGCACATATGTAGCTATCCTTTTCTTCTGTATATTCATTGTCATCATCTGTACTCATCTCATTGTTCAAAGTCTGCAAAACATAGAAAAAAACAATTCTTAGTTCAGCATTAAGACTGGTATCCTTGAGAGAGAGATTGACTTCATTCATTTATTAAAATGAAAGAAAATATTAGTGAAAGGCATATAATAATTTTCTGTGATACAGTCAGTGACAGAAACATTACCTTTGAATTGAGATGGAACTAAAAATATACATAACAAACCCAGAAAATTTTTACTAGATACGTATTATTTTTTCCTGTTTACTATATAGCAGTTGCTTTAAATTTAAAGACTCGTTTTTCAGTAATCCAAGTTTCATTTTTTTCCTCTAATAACTGCTATCTATTCCCTTTGTTCCTGTTTTATAATTCTTATTACCCACAGATTGGATCTCTTGGTTCTAACTTCCATGGTTCAATTTTGTTCTTCTATTTTCAATCTCCTTCTGTTGTGCTATATCACAGGAGAATTCTCAACTTTATTGCTCAGGGGACAGTATTCATTCTTTGATACAACAAATATTCATCGAGTGACTACTAAAGACTGGACATCGTTGCAGATGATGTTGATAAAGCAGAAAATATAACATAAAATCTCCATCTTCAGGTAGCTTGTTTTCTAGGCCTATGTTATGCAACAACACTCATGCTATTTTTTTTTTAATACCAGTCATCATGTTCTAAAAAATTTAATAAGTTACTTTTTATCTTCTCATTGTTCTTTCTAGGTTTTTGCCATAAGGCATGTGCACTAGCTAGAGAGAGATACAGAGAAAGGGAATGAGAAATGACTCCCCATAGGGGATGGCCATGCTACACAATCCTTTTTCCTCCATTCTCCTCCTGGGGTTTTGAGCGAGCATGCACATTCACTTGGCATGATTTTCCAGCTTCTTTCACGTGACAATAAATATTTAAGGCTTCTCCCAACTGCTATTTCTGTGTTTTCTTTTTGTATTTTTAGTGACAGGGTCTTGATAGGTTGTCTATACTGCCTTTAAACTTGCAGTCCTCCTGCCTCAGCCCTTTGAGTAGCCTTGAGTAGCTGGGACTACATACGTACACCACCAAGTCAGGCCTTGACTGATTTTTTTTTTTTTTAAGAGGCTTTGCTATAGGGCGCGTGTGCTCGCCAGAAAGACAGAGACAGAGAGCAGAAAGTGAGAAATCAACCCCTGGGGGGGAGGGGGGAGGGCCATGCTGCAATCCCTTCTCCTCCATTCTCCTATAGGGATCTTGGGCACACACACACACACACCTCGTGCACACACACACACACACACACACACACACACATGCACTCGGCGTGAGTTTAAGCCACTGGGTCTGGGACTCGAACTGTGGTCTACTACACGGGAGTCCAGTGACATAACCATTATGCCAACAGGTGGTCCCACAGGCCTCAACTGATTTTTAATCTTAAAATTACTCCAGGTCTCTGATGAGAACTGCTCTCAATTTTTGTATCAGTTTCTTTTACCCCACCTTGGGCTTAAGCAAAAACAAAAACGAAAACAAAACAAAACTTAGTTTAATTCATTTCCTAAATAAATGATAATCCTATTGGTTAGAGTGGTTAGCGTCTGGACTGGAGATATAAATACACACATAAACACACATATACATACACACATATTATGTGTATATATATATACACGTATACACACACACAAACACACACACACACATATATATTGGCAGTGTGATATATTTATTCATTTTAAAATATATTGTTTTTTCCTATCATTCTACTTTCTTTAAAACTGCTAGCTGAAAAGAAGTAGATTTAACATATTTTGCTTTCTCTAAAAATTGTCTCTAAGGAAGGGACAAGTATAATTAAAATAAGTTAAAATTTGAAACTAATTGTACTAGGTCATTGGAAAGTCATGATGTATTTTCCTATGCAAAAATGCATCATGACTTTACAGACAACCCAATATTATAGATATGCATAGATATTTATATGTGTGTGCATGTATTTCAGTATAAAATTAATACTTAGGAATATCTGTTGTAATATAGAAATATAGTATACACTGTACCTCTGAAATAAAGGACAGACATTCGAATTGTCTTATATACATTTTATATTTTTAAGATTCTTAAAAATTAAGAATGTTAAGAATTAAATGTGCCAGATTTACATACTTTTATTCCTAATCTAACAGATAAATGACCATGAATATAGCCTACGTCACCTATCTGTTGCAATCTGAAGGATGCAGGAACAATTTCACAAAAGTCATTACCCTCAGCCCTCAGCCTCAGAGCACCTAATAGTATATTCTAAACAAATAATTATGTGTGAATGACTAGCACTCAGGACTATCACTGTCCTAATTAGGCCTCTTCTACAATACAAACACTTCTAGGAAGGGGCACCTGCTATCTGTAGTGTCTTTGTGTGAGTTTATTAAATCACACTACGCTGGAACAACAACAACAAAAAAGACAGGATTTTTTTTTTTCCTATCGGGCACGTGTGCTTATCAGAAAGACAGAGAGAGACAGAGAGACCAAAAGTGAGAGACCAAAAGTGAGAACCCCCAGGGAGGATGGCCACACTGCAATCCCTTTTCCTCCATTCTCTCAGGATCTTGGGCATGCACACGCACACGACCGCCATGAGTTTAAGCCACCGAGTCTGGGACTCAAACCATGGTTCACAATATGGGAATCCAGCGACATAGCCATTACACCAACTGCTGGTCCCAAGACAGAGTATTTTCTATGAGAGACATATTTAATGGGTGAAAGAAGTCCTTGAAGATAACAATTCTCAAACTGTGATCTACAGATCCCTAAGAGCAACGGACCCTTTTGGGAGACCCAGAAGGGCATTAGTATGTTCACAGTAATACTGAGATGTTACTTGTCATTTTCTCTGTGTTGACAATGTTATGAATGGTACAAAAGTAATAGTGGATTAAACTGGTAGTGCGTTAGCATGAATCAAGGCAGCAGAACAAACTATACTGAATCACTGTATTCTTCACCATCGCACACATGCAAGGAATAAAAAAGTCAGTTTGTATTAAGAATATCCTTGATGGATATGGAAAAATAATTACTTATTCTTAGGTATATTCATCCTTGAATATATGTCTCCTTTTAAAAAATATTTTTAGAGGGGCCAGAAGGTGGTGTGGTGGATGGGGGCGCTGAATTCCCACATGGTTGACTATGGTTCGAGTCCTAGACCTGGTGGCTTGCTTTCTCACTTTCCCTTTCTTTCTCTCTCTGTCTGGTCAACTTTAAAAATTATGATAACAAATGGAATTAAATAAGTAAATAATTCTTTAAAAAAAATTTTTTTAGAGAAATTTTGGCTATAGGGCCAGTGTGCTTGCTGGAGAGAAAGAGGGACAGAAAGTGAGAAATCAACTCTCAGTGAGGATGGCCACCTCACAATCCCTTCTACTCAATTCTCTTCTCAGGACTTGGGGCATGCATGCCTGGCATGAGTTTTTTTTTTTTTTTTTTTTTTTTTTGAGAATTTTTTTTTGCTATAGGGCATGTGCGCTCCCCAGGAAGAGAGACACAAAGAGACAAAAAGTGAGCAATCACTCCCCCCCCAATGGGGGATGGCCATGCCACAATCCCTTTTCTTCTATTCTCCTTTTGGGATCTTGGGCACGCACGAAGACACGCCCAGCGTGAATTTAAGCTGCCGGGTCCGGGACTCAAACCACTGTCGACTACATGGGAGTATAGCAACATAGCCATTACACTAACTGCTGGTCCCTTGAGTGGGAATTTTCTAATATTTATTCCTGTCATCTACCAGCACATCCACAGAAAGGAAGGGACTAAAGGAAGACTTACGTGCCTTTGAGGTCACCAGTGCTGGCTTAGAGAATCTTTCCCCCATTGCCATCACACTGCTCGGGATCTTTGCAGGTTAATAAAATACTCACTAGCTTAGACCACCAGACACAGAGTTATTCAGTCTACTTATTCTTTATGTTGCTTAATTAATTCCTTCAAAAAATCTCACTCTGTGTACTAATGAAACTGCCACCTATTGAGATAATGTATAAAACTGAAGATGCCAAAGGAGGATATGCTGTCCTTTTGTAAAAAAAAAAAAAAAGAAAAAAGTTTAACAAAGAGAAAAAGTAAGGAAATAGTCCTTATCTTGAAAGGACTGAACTGTCCCACATTCACAGTGTACAACTGCAAAAGTTGAGGTAGGACTCCTATGTTCATTGCAGTACTATTCACAACATTCAAGATACGGAATCAACCTAACTGCCTCTCAATGGATGAATGGATTTTAAAATGTGGTACATATAGATATATAATGGAATACTGTTCATTCATAAAAATGCCCAAAATTCTGTCATTTGAGGCAACATGGATGAATACAGAGGAAATGATACTAAATGAAATAAGCCAGGTATTGAAAAACATACTGCATGTCTTCATTCATTTGTGGAGATAAAAGATGGATGGCACAGACAAAGAGACTAGAATGGGAACACTAGGATATGGGAAGGGGAAAAGGGAGGATTGAATACAGCGAATTTAGATCACAGACACAAACACCCAGTTACATAAGCAAAATGAGTTCTAGAGTACTAAGGGAGAGTAGAGTAGCTATAGTAATTACAACTTATTTAAAACTGCTAGAATAAAGGATTTTGAATGTTCATAACACAAAGTAATGAATGTTTGAGATTACAAATAGTTTATTACTCTGATTTGATAATCACTCATTCTATACATGCATTGAAAAGCCACACAGTACCTCATAAATAAGTACAACTATTATATGTCAAACAAAAATAATTTTTAAAAGGAAACCTCAGGCTAGGATTTATAAACTTTTGCCAACTTCTCTGGTTTAGGGATAAAACAAACAAACAAACAAACACACCTCAATTAATTAGAGGAGAAACTCTTTGTCAGCACAACTGAAAGAATGTATTTCTGTCAGTTTTGGTTCTCTTTAGAGCATGTGCATGTGCTCTAATGGAAAAACTCAGACTTATGCTTTATGTAACTGTGTTGTTTACTACCTCCA